ATTGCAAATCGCTCACAATTCTCTTGAGGTTTCTGCGGTTTGAAAACGCGAATGCCCACCGCCACCAACACACACGAGGATTTCCTGAGAATGGTTCGGCTTGTTGTGAGTCAACATCGGCGATGTTTTCTGGGTTAAAACCGCAAAGCGCCCAATGAGAAATGCCGTGAACATCAATGCACGCGGACCACACGAAATGCCAGTCAAACCCCTAAGGGGCCATCATCCATTGAGTCGGTCCGCACAAATCTGTCAAAACTTGACCCCCGCTCCCTGTACGCACGTGGACTTTTTACACCCCCACCCTGAATCCTATAGAACGGCCGATATTTAATCCACGCAGAAACGATCAAAGATTAATAATATTAACGTGTTCAAGCAAACAGATAGTCCACCGCCGGACCATCTAACTCATTTGAAGGCCAATGTAGAAAAATTATTATCGAGGCTTCACCCCCCCCCCCCCCCCCCCGTTTCCTATGTGTACAAACATTGTCAGTAGACCTCCCCATACACAAGCGAACGCATCTGGGTTAACCCACAACTCCATGCGTACGGACTAAAAGGATGGCCCCTAAGGGAACGACGACTTAAACGACAAAGGTCACGTAAAAAAAAATCGTTCGAAGAACTATTCAAGTGGACCTCGCTTCTCAGTGTGTTTACAACACAAATGCCAGGCATCGATTCCAACAAAACCATCGGTGGCACACAATGCACCAATTGTACTGCACCACCCAAGTCATTCATCCCGGGTCTATCTTGTAGAAAGATAACGCTCATTCTAATCGTGGTTGCGCACGTGGGAGTCTAAGTGTGTGTGTGCGGACGAGTACGATGTGTATGTACATGTGTCTGCGTTCATATACATTGCATTGTAGGGTCACGAATGGTAATGTGTGTATGCTGTGTTCGAGGAATTTGGGGAGCGGTGGGATAGCGGTTAGCGCTATGAACCTGGCGGGGACCCGAGTTTGATTCCCGCTCACGGCCAACACCCAGTGACGATTATCTGAACCGGTCCTGGGCCTCCTCTAGGTCGACTCGGCCTCAAATGAGTACCTTGTGCGGTGTGTAAACATCGCCACTTAGGGAGACAAAGGCGGCCGGGCGTGCGTGGTGTTACCCACCCACCCCCTCGTGTGCCGTGCCGGACTTCATAGGTGCTCGCTAACAGCACTTGCCCCTTCAGGTCTGTTTAAGGCTACACGGGGGATCTTTGTCTTTGTGTTGTAGTCGGGTGAGGAGCCGTGGGGCAGCGGTTAGCGCTACGCTACGAACCCCGGCTATGGACAGAGTTCCATTCACCAACAACAGCAGTGACGATTATCTGAACCGGTCCTGGGCCTCCCCTAGGTCGACTCAGCCTCAAACATCGCCACTGGGGAGACAAAGGCGGCCGGGCGTGCGTGGTGTTGCCCACCCACCCCCTCGTGTGCCCCGTGCCGGTCTTTATAGGTGCTCGCAAACAGCACTTGCCCCACCAATGTGTTGAGAATATACGGGGGGGGGATCTTTGTCTTTTGTATGTAGTGCTATATTTGTTCTGTACCTGCACTCGATAAGAATGCAGTTAAGTGGTGCAGTGAGTACCGTACAACATCACACTATTCTAGAGTACACACACGTGTGTGTGTGTGGGTGTGTGTGTGGGTGTGTTCCCACACACACCACATACACACACGTGAGTCTATGAATGGGTGTGTGCAAGTGTCGTGTTTGTACACGGCACATGAACAAAAACACATGAACAGAGACATACAAAAGGCGTGTGAGCAGAGCTGACGCGTGCACATCAACACGCAACACACACGCACCAACAATAAAACCAAACACCAGCATTTCAAAAGACATAAACACACGGGGTATACATATCAGAGACACACACAGTGTTACAAAGCGACCACATTATATTGAGAGATACACGTGGCACAGAAATACACAAAAACATATCCCAAAGCAAGCCAGGCCCGTGTAGGTGACCGTAACGTGATATAAACACATTGTAATTGTAATATCAGAGAACAATTTTGTACAAGTGTTGTATCCAAATAGGTGTGAACAAAAACACAAGCATATTAAGAGACGAGGCACATTCACACAAAAACAATAAACGACGAGAGAGATGTACAGAAACGCAATGTTAAACCACCACACTCACCGTGCATTGCTAACACGGATACGGGCACATTCACTCACACATTACGACACAAATGTATGACAACACATTTACACATTACTACACAAATGTATGACAACACATTTACACATTATTACACAAATGTATGAGACACATTTACACATTATTACACAAATGTATGACACATTTACACATTACTACACAAATGTATTAAGACGCCAATACATTTACACATTACTACACAAATGTATGAAACACAAACACATTCACACATTACTACACAAATGTATTAAGACACAAACACATTCACACATTACTACACAAATGTATGAAACACAAACACATTCACACATTACTACACAAATGTATGACAACACATTTACACATTACTACACAAATATATAACACAAACACATTCACACATTACTACACAAATGTATTAAGACACAAACACATTCACACATTACTACACAAATGTATGAAACACAAACACATTTCAACATTATTACACAAATGTATGAGACACACATTTAAACATTACTACACAAATATATGAAACACAAAACACATTCACACATTACTACACAAATGTATTAAGACACAAACACATTCACACATTACTACACACATGTATGAGACAAACACATTCACACATTACTACACAAATGTATGAAACACAAACAAATTTCAACATTATTACACACATGTATGAGACACATTTAAACATTACTACACAAATGTATGACAACACATTCACACATTACTACACAAATGTATTAAGACACAAACACATTCACACATTACTAAAAATATGTATGACAATACACTTACACATTACTACAAATATGTATGAGACAAACACATTTACAACCACACACAGCAAAACCAAGCACATTTTCAGACAAATACACACTCCTGGACAGACAGGCTTGAAAAAAAAACAAATTGATAAACAACATGAACACATCATTTGATCAAACAGAAACATTGTATAGCCCACATACAAACACAACTCACCATAACCAAAACATAAGATGCACGTTTCAAATAAAAACCACAACAAACCAAACGCAAATTACGCAAGAGACACTAAACATTCCTGGGAAGATTCGCAACACAAAAAAGACTTTCAAAATATCTCAACGAATTGTCAACAATGCAGGTAAAAGTATCGTAACAGAACTAACACGGACGGATTGTTCAAATCAAACACCACATCAAAGACACGAACACCAAAACAACAACCCCCCCCCCCCCCGCGAATTATCACGAGATGAACATTCGTTTACAAACTTTACATGAATAATAAGGTAAACGTTATAAACGAAACACGAGTAGAGTTGTTTACTTATAACACAACAATCTGGGGCAAGTGCTGTTAGCGAGCACCTATGAAGGCCGGCACGGCACACGAGGGGGTGGTGCTGATGTGGCCAGCACCACGCCCGGCCGCCTTTGTCTCCCTAGTGGCGATGTTTACACATCGCACACCAGCTACTCGTTTGAGTCACACACAACACACAAACACAACACACACACACACAACACACAAACACACAACACAAACACACAACACAAACACACAACACACACACAACACACAAACACACAGACACGTGTGTACGACTCAGCTCAGCCCTGCTCCCTGTCAAACTGCAACTTTAAAAACACAACTTTCAAAACACAACTTTCAAAACACAACTTTCAAAACACAACTTTCATAACACAACTTTCAAACACAACTTTAAAAACACAACTTTCAAAACGCAACTTTCATAACAAACACAATTTTCAAAACACAACTTTCAAAACGCACCGTGGCAATTATTGCCCGTATCAAACATGGCCCAGAAAACAACAAAAAGCCACACTTTACCAAAACCACCGCAAAGCTTTTGCCTTTTTCATACAATTTAAACGCGATAAAACCATCAAATTACACAAACCACCACCACCAGCAGCACCACGACTAACGAGTTACACGCAGGCCACCCTCTCCACTCAGATCATCTTCGGCCTTTTTGTGGCTTTCACGGTGAATATTCTTAGGGTTTTTTCGAAAAAACCTAAGAATATGAATCTTTGCAGTCACGAAAGCTTCAAATCTAGAATTTCACGGTGAACTTTCACCACTCGCCACGTGGTGGTGGTGGGCACGAAGACCACCACCACCACACAAGCCACCACCACGATGATGATTATGATGTTAGTCGCGAGTAGTAAACAAACACAACCAGCAACCACGCAAGCCCGGCCGTCTTTGTCTCCCCCAGTGGAGATGTTCACTACATAGCGTACCGGGGTACTAATTAACACAAATCTACCCCGTACAGCCACTAACAACAGAGTGTTGTTGGCAAATGTTGTTGGCAAATGTTGCCTATGAAGGCCGGCAGTGGCACACGTGGGGGGGGGGTGGGTGGCCAGCACCACGCCCGGCCGTCTTTGTCTCCCCCAGTGGCGATGTGTTACGCAGCCGCACCAGGTACTCATTTGAGGCTGAGTCGACCTAGGGGAGGGCTCAGAAAATCGTCACTGATGTTGGCCGTGAGCCGGTAATCGAACCCGGCTCAGCGACTTCGTAGCGCTAACCGCTGCGCCACCGCTCCCCCGTTCATTGACAAAGACAAAGATCCCCCGTGTAGCCTCTAACAGAGTAAGGGGCAAGTGCTGTTAGCGAGCACCTATAAAGGCAGAGAGGTTGGTCTCCAGCACCACGCCCGACCGCCTTTGTCTCCCCACAGTAGCGATGTTTACTCTACATCGCATCGGGGAGGCAACTCATTACAACACACACATAACGAGTTGTAGTTTTTTTTTTTTTTAAAAACACTTCTTACGATGCAACAATGTTTCTGACCTCTTTCTGTCGTCGTGGTGGTGTCATCTTCACGGCAAACTTGGGTGATGATGGACGCACTTTCCATCGGCTGCAAACGACTCCACGTGGCTTTCCAATGCCACCTCCCCCCCCCCCCACACACACACACACAGAACCCACACACACACACCTCAACCTCGCTTCTTACTTCAAGAAATGTTTAAACGAAACAAAAACTACAAAGAGTTGTTCCCGAACGAAACGGCGATATCCGAGATGGACTTCTTTTTTTAAACTTTTTTTGTATCTCCACCCCCCCCTCTCTCCTCCTCCTCTCCTCTGTGTGTTTCGATGTCGATCTCGATGTTGATAATCGTCAGCTGTTGTTGTCTTCGTCGCTGATCCTCGTCAGTTGCCGCTTGTTTGTTTGTTGTTTGTGAGTGAAAGTTGTATCACAAAGCCGCGGTGGTGGCGGTGGTGATGATGCGCCAGGCCTGACAGAAGCAGCAACATGGAGGAGAGTGGCTCAACACAAACGCAGCCGTTTCTAGGCGCCCCACACACGCACACACATACACACACACAGACACACAGACATACACTACACACACACATACTCCACACACACGCACTACACACACACATACAGACACACAGACATACACTACACACACACATACTCCACACACACGCACTACACACACACATACAGACACACAGACATACACTACACACACACATACAGACACACAGACATACACTACACACACACATACTCCACACACACGCACCACACACACACATACAGACACACACACATACACTACACACACACATACTCCACACACACGCACCACACACACACACCACACACACACATACAGACACACACACATACACTACACACACACATACTCCACACACACGCACCACACACACACACCACACACACACATACAGACACACAGACATACACTACACACACACATACTCCACACACACGCACTACAACAACAACAACAACAACCGCCATTCGCCACTAAGTGGCGGTGACGTCACCACGATGCTTGTGCCAGGCCAAGTGCACCTTGAGGCCACGTGAAGTGTCGAAAGCCCGCCGGCAGGAGGTCACGGGGCAGACCCAGCAGGTGCCACGGGTCGACTGACCGAGATGACCGAGATGACTGGCTGATGCACCACCTGTGCCCCCTACTGTGCCAACTTGCTGTGCTTTAGCCACCCGGCGCTCCGCTCGTTGTTGTGAGCGTCGCTCCTCCGCCCTCCGTTGTTGTTGGAGGGCGACTGCCTCCAACTGCCCAGTAGCGTCCTTCACGAGCCTCCTCCACCGAGGCCGATCTTGACACCGCTGGTACCGGTCATCGGCAAGTCCACTCAGCTCCACGTCCTCCTGTACCACATCACTCCATCTCTTCTCCAGCCCGTGCCGCGCCCGTCTAGCCCCCTCGATCCGGCCGAACAAAAGCTGTTTAGGCATGCGGTGGCTGGGCATGCGGGCTACATGACCCAGCCAACGCAGCCTTGCCTGCCGGAGGAGCTCACCGATGGGACTTTGCCCAGATCTTTCAAGGATTTGTGAGCTCCTCACACAATCCAGCCTGGTTAAACCCAGGATGGATCGTAGGCAGGCCAGCCTAAATGTTTCTAACCGGCTAAGATGTTCCATTAGGGGGGTCCACGTTTCGCAAGCGTAGAGAAGGGAGGGAATGACTATGGCCGAGAAGACCTGAAGCTTCGTGCGGAGCGACAGACCAATTTCCACACCGTGTTACAGAACCGATGAAAAGATAATGCCGCTCGACTGATTCGGAGTGAGACCTCTGCTGTTAAACTAGAGCCGGTCATGAGCACACTGCCCAGGTATAGGAAACTCTCCACTCTCACCCAACAACTGCCCTATCACCAATTGGGAGTTGTGGGGGTGGAGTGTCCGATGGTACAAAATACCCCGGCAGGTGCTTAGATTTGGTGCTGCTGATGGTAAGTCCCCACCTCTTAGTGGCAAGCTCCAGGTTCGTAGAACAACCCAGAGCCTAGTCCTACTGATGGTATGATAGGCCTTGAGCAGGTCATTAAAGCAAGGATGTAGGTCTTGTGGGAATTCCCTACACCTCTGCTGTAGCAGATGGACAGAAAATATGGCATCTGTGCAGGCCCGCCATTTTCCTGAAACCGCATTGGGGCACCGCAAGCCTCTCCTCAGCATACCTAGCAAAACGATGTTGAAGAATCCTTTCCAGGACATTTCCCGGCACACTGAGGAGTTGGATGCCCCTGTAGTTGTTACAGTCTGTACAGTCCCCTTTCTAAAAGAGAGGGACAACCAGGGCATCCTTCCAATCCTGCGGGACCCGTCCAGTAGTCCAGACTGGTGTTATGATGTCATGTAGGGCAATCTGTCATAGAAGGCATCTGACTCATCGGCCTTGCCTGCATCCCTCCTACTGATGTTCATCTTCGGTGGGGGCATAAATAACCACGACCACCACTCCTCCCCTCTGGTTGATGGGAAGACGAGCCAAAAGTAGCCTGAGGCTTACAGCTTCCCACACCTCACCGCCACGTTCCCACGCTCCCTTCATGCTTTTGTTCATCAGAAGAGCCACTACCTGTTGTTTGAAAGTCTTCTGCCTCGAGTAGAGGACTGTCTGCCCCTCATGATGTCAGGAGCCAGAGCCGGTCCACCAGACCTCCTGAATACCGCAGAAATCATGGCGGTACCGCTCCAGCTCCTGACAGAGGCGTGGCAGCCTCTCCTCCGCAGTGAGCATTTGAACATTAAACGTGGCCACCCACAGTGTCTTTTTGCTGTTTCTGGAGGAACCCCGAGGGTAAGGATTCAGTCTCCTGGCTCCGCCAAATGGGGTTTGGCCAGGAGACATCATTGACGCCTGTCCCCTCGGGGTCTCCGACGCAAGCTTAGTTTGATATTTTTCACGTGGTTTTGTGGTAATTAAATTGAAGGTGGAGGGGTTACCAGCTCCTCGCACCCGTCCCACTTACCATCGGCTTGTCAACTGTAAGATGCGGGGAGGGCCAATCGAAAGCAGCGTTACCATCCGACACCAACAAGGAGGTAGGGGGTTGTTTTGCCGGACACAGACACACATTACTACACACACACTACTACGAAAAGGACAAAGATTCCCCATATCGCCTGTAACAGACTGTAGGGGCAAGTGCTGTTAGCAAGCACCTATAAAGGCCGGCACGGCACATGAAGGAGTGGGCGGCCAACACCACGCCCGGCCGCCTTTGCCTCCCCAGTAGCGTTGTTGATACACCGCACCAAGGTACTAATTTGAGGCTGAGTCGACCTAGGGGAGGCCCAGAACCGGTACATATTAATCGTCCCTGGTGTTGCCCGTGAGCGGGAATCGAACCCCGGGTGGCCAGGTTCGTAGCGCAGCGCGCTAACCGCTACACCACCGCTCTCCACTACTACACACACCAGGGGCGGTTTCTTCATTAGGGCGATTGGCCGACGCACCACCAATGTCATTAATCCACAGAGTTACGCGAGCCGTTACTGTACCTCTGGATATAGTCCAATCAGCGTCATGTCACGTTCTGTGGAGTACCGCCTCTTTTTCGGCGATTTCACTCCGGCTGAGAATCGCCCAGAGTGTTCCCATAGACTTACATTCAAAGATGTTTTTTTTCGAACGGCGGGCGCTCCAATGCATTCTCTATGGCTTCCGGGAGGGCTCGCACTAACGTGCTTACGTCATCATACGTAAGCACGTTTCAGTCAACAATATTATTTGTCACCACCTAGTGGAATCTTTAATAAAAGAAACTGAGTGGATTGTAATAATAGTGAGTATAGAAACAAACAAGATGTATTGTAAGAGTCACTTTATTTTTCATTAATATTAAAGAAGTGAAGTTGCCTTTACATGCTTAAGCTGTTAATTTATCCATTGCATGGGTGGACCTTATCCTTATCAATCATCCAGACATTTGCCCCCCCTGAGAGATTTTGCAGGAGCCGCCACTGACACACACACCACTATACATACACGCACAACTACACACTACTACTACCCCCCTCCATCTAACCTTTCCGGGCGTTCAATACAAAACTATAGGCACATGCATGCGTCGAAGAGAATACATAGGGCATATGCATGCGAAACACCGGGTTACAAATGCGTGTGTGTGGTGTGTCGTACAAAATACATAGTAGTTTCACACACGGGCATTTGCATGCGACACACGTGTTACATGCGTGTGGTATAGTGGCGGGCCGTGTATTTTACACCTAGACCTTGAGTGCTATCCTTCCGCAAGTAAACCGCGTTCGAATAACCTCACCATGACACGAGGGCTACAGGCTATTATCATTTGTGGTAACCACCCCACATTCACAGTAACCTTTATCGAGTGGAATAAAGTGATTTAACACGAAGCTCAACACCTATGAGAATTATAATACACTAATTGCAGGGGGCCTGTCCTGGCTCATCCCCCCCCCTCAACCAGTATATATACGGGGTAGTATCTCTTGGAATTTCTCATTTACTTGATACAGCAAGCGTGCTATGACGGTCCCACCTGAAGACGGAAGCTTGTGTTGCCTCCGAAACGTCGTGATTTTTATTTTATTTTTATTTTATTTTACTTTTATTAATTTTAATTTTTAACCTACGTGACTTTACCAAAAAAAACCTAAGAATACTAATTGCAGAGGCATGAATACATGGTGACTGAAACCATCAAGGATGTACCACTATTACACAATATGACAGGATGCTGCATCACAAATAGACATCGCATAGCCCAAATCAATGCCATTGCCAAAGAAACCAAAACGAACTCACAACAACCAGTCACATTTACTCACACGACCACCAAGCAGGCAAAAATGCCGTAAGACACATATAACACAATCAGGATTCAACAGGCTTCCCCACAACAAAACCTAAAGCACTACATCTAAAAATCTAAACGTCACAAAATAAAGTTTAAATAAATCTTAGATGCTGCTACGTTACGTGCTATCTAGTTTTACTTTAGTTAGCTAACTGGCCCTCCGATCACGCCACGCGAAAAATGCGAACGTAGGCAGCTAGGCCAGCTAGAAGGCTCTGGCGTGTCTAAGAATACGCCCAACATGGCAAACTCGACATCTGATTGGTTAAAGAATATGACAATCAACAACATCGTCCCCATTTGCTTCAACAGCAGAGGGGATTCACTCGACATTCTGAAGGCCTCAGGGTGGATTTTTCACCCGGAGAGGCGAAGACAGCACAGGTGGAAAATCTGATTGTTTCAAAACTCTAATTTATAAATTACTCTGATAGCGCACTGTCTTTGGGCTGTTCGCCTTTTGGCGTCCTCTGGTCAAACACCGTTTGAGACGAGGCTCAAAAGAAAGCTGTTTCTTGTGTGGACCAATCAGTTTCAAGGACAATGCATTTATTATCAGAGTATTTTTCGATTTAAATTTCGATTTAAAGCTTTCGTGACTGCAGGGATTCATACTCTTGGATCTTTCGGTAAAGTCACGTAGAAGGAAAATAATACAATAATAAAAAATAATAAAAAAATAATCAATTCTCATGACGTTTCGGCCACAACACAAGCAGCCGTCCTCAGGTGAAGAA